TTTTTTTTTTTTTTTTTTTTAAGGGGGGGAAAAAAAGATCAGAGCTATAAACTGAGGTTAGTTTTGAATTTTGTTTTATTTTCATCAGCCAGCTGTCCTTGCTTTATTAAACCTTATTCCTCCAGGAAAGTAAGGAGATACTGATATAATGAAAGTCTGGCAGAGAGGCATACACTTGCTTCTGATTATCTAACATGGCTTGAGACACTCTGACAATGTATCTTACCCACCATAAACCCATTGTAGTGTCAGCCAGGTATGAGTGCCAAGCTTCACAACGCCTGGCCAGAACCCAGGGAATATGCTTGGAACTCTGTGCAGCGGACCAGGTATGATTGACTGAGGCAGTGTGAATGGTCCCCACACAATTTAAAGAGTTTTTTCAGAAGCTCAGCAAAACAGGCTACAGCCCACAACACTGAGCCCAGAAAACAACTGCTTTGGGGACAATACCCCAGCAGTCTGGCTACCTTTGGAAACATGATTAAGATGAATTCACATTCTACATGTTCCTAATTTTAGAATGCTAAGAAACTCTAAAAAGCCTTATTTAAAAAAAACCCAGCAAATCAACATCTTCTACCCATAAAGTTAAAAACCAATGTGCTGGATTTGAGCCACTTTGCTTATGGTCAAACTTTCACAGGTTCTCATTCCAGGCTACGAGATCTATATGGTAGGAGGGCAGGAAGAGAAATCGGTCATACTATATATGCATAAACACAGTATACAGTGTTCACTTAGATAGGATTTAGGGTTTTTTTATTTTTTTGCCTTTTTGATCACCAACACCCTGGTTTAAATTCCTTTGGGATTTCCCCCACATGAAACTGACACGGGATCTCTCCTCTCAAACAAAATGATTGCTCAACTTGGGGGCAAGTGTTCGTTTTGGGAAGGGTGGAAAAGAACGTGATGCTGGCATTCAGTCCCAACTCCAAGAAGCTAAACCGAAAAGGAGGGGGGAGAAGAAGCTAAAAAGGATCAAAATATTTAGCAACCCCTCCCTTTCACCAAAAAAAGCACGGGATACAAGGAAAAATAATCTGATTACACACAGGGTATATATTTTTACACACACTTTTACACACATCTAGATATAGTACATGTAAAAATATATGCTATACATACGCCCACTCTCACTGAGGTGCTTTTAATACACCACTTGCACTTGTGTATGGGTATGTATATGTGTGTATGCATTAAATATACAGATCCTAGTAAGTGTATATGTGCATATGTACACATACATACAGGTCGGCCGGCTGCCAGCCTGCCATTAGCCACCCTCCCCCTTCTTTTTGTAGAAAACCCAGTTCTCCACCCTGACATACCCTATCATTACACCCTTCCTCCCCCTTGAAACAGGTCCCCACTGTGTAGCAACTGCTTTTTTAACAAGTGATTCTCAAGAAAAATAAAATGTGTAGAAGGGGACAAAATAAGAGAGAGAGTGTGAGTGAGTGAGTGTGTGTGTGTGCGCGCGTGCGCACATAGGGGTCACACTTGTTCCACCACATCATCCTTCCAGCTCCCATCCTGTGCCTGGAATGGGGCCAGCTTTCTTTTGGAATCAGCCAACGAAGCGCTGCCCCCATCACCACCTTATTGCACACGTTTGCTTCCAGGCTGCATGAAGAACTCGGCATTACATTCCACAGATCTTTTCTTCCTTCCTTTTCAATCAAATACATCGATATGTGAACCCTGCTGCCCTTCGCCCCTACACCTCCCCCCCACTAAAGGAAAAATAAAGAAAGGCTGCTAGCTAGCAGAGTGCAACACCAGTACACGCTGAACAGATGTTCTCTTCGGGAGCTCTGTGGAAGAGAGGTTATTTCTAACACAGTAAACAAAGCCATGCAAAAAGTGGGAGAGAGGGGGTGGATAAGGTAGAATAAGAGGTAGAAGAAAAAAACCCTAAGGATAAGGAAGAACAGAGTTGAGGAGAAGGAGAAAGAACACAGCATGGCAAGTGCTCAAGGCTTCATTTTTTTTTTTTTGTCGTCCTCTTCTTGTAAACAAGCTAATAATTCTCATTAGATTGAGCAAGTAAAAAGATTGAAGTTCCAAGTCTGAGGGGCTGGGGCTTCCAGGAGTCTTTTCAGTCTGTTCAGCAACACCACAGCCAGTGAGAGAAAACAAGAGGGGGAATTTTTGTTGTTGTGTGTGGGATTTTTTTAAAATCTTCGTTACTTAAAGCTGAGAGAAAAAAAGCCGAATTGGGAGCCCTTTGTCAGGTTGGCTCAGCGTCTCTAGACCGAATAAATCACACTAAGTTTAGAGAGAATTTTTTTTTCCTCTTTAATGATTTAGAAAAACACGTGTTTCCTTCCTCTTCCCCTTTGCTCAAAGGCGGGTCTGTGCCTCAGGGACGTAGATTTCAATGCTGTCCGCGCTTTCCGTGGCAGAATTCTGCCGGACAGAGGCAGCCCGCTTGGCTGCCATGAGACGCTTGCGAGCTTCCTGGCGCTGCTTATCCACAGAATCAGAGGCTTTGTCCCGGTTCAGTGGGGTTTTGGGCTTGGCTGGCTTCTTTGGCACTGGAGGGGGTGGTTTCTTCTCTTCCTTTAAGAGACAGTAAGAAGAAAGACAGAACATAAAATAAAAATGCACATACAAAAGTTCTCTCTCTTCTGAGATAACAAGAAGAGGGGATAGTTTGTGGCCCAAAGGGGGAACATGCCTTTCAGCAACAGAGCATCAAGTGAATAAGGAGAAAGTAAAAACTGTATGTAACAAAAGTATCTTGTACCAGAATCCTATCTGCTTTCCCATTTAACAGACAATGAACTTAGTCTCACTCTCTGGTGGCACAGAATCCCACCCTGGGAAGCAGATCTGGGTTTGCAGGTTGCTCTTAGGGCTTAATGATGGGTCAGAGCATGTTGAGAAGATTAACACAGCTGGACTTTAAGAGGCAGAACAGAAGTGTGCAATATAAGTTTTATAATGCATAGTGAGCTGCGACTCATGCCCCCCCACATCTCAGAACTGATGTAAGCATAGAAATAAAGCAAACATGTGGATTTAAAGTTACATGGTTTCTCACAGGTACTGATTACAGCCTATTCAGTATAAACTTAGCCTCTTTATCCAACATCTATTTAACAAAAAGCCTGCCACCTCCCGCTATGTAAATGTGTGCTATTTACTCATCCACTCTTTACCCCAAATCACTTTTCCCCGAAGGTTTCAGGAGTTTCTAAAACTCATTTAAATTTATCTTATAGGAATCTTCTTGATGCACCTCACAGGAGATTACGTGTACGTGTAGGGGGAGACTTCAGTTTTTGAACATGCAGGAAACACTATTATGATTATATGCATTAAAAAAGGTAGAGTACGCAGCAAGCAGAAGACAGTAGCAGTTCCAGAAATCTAATCTATGAAATCGTAGTTTAAGAACACAGAGCTACAAGAGAAGGGCTATTATTGACTCAGCAGAGTGCACAATATTTTGGCCACTCTGAACTGCCCCATGCTCACCTTCTTCTCCGGTGTTTCTGCCAGTTGCCAGCTGTTAGCCTTTAGGTGGTAGAGCTCATCAAATTTCATGCTGATGTCTTCAATGGACAACTGCAAGAGATCCCAAAACCCAGCTAGGTCCTGGGCTGTGGGTCTGGGATTGGCATTGGGGTTCTGCAAGGGAGAGGGCATCAACAAGAAAATCACAAACAGCATGTCACTGAGATCATGAGATTACAGTAGTCTGTGCTATATTACACTTTTACCCTTTGCAATTCTGAGCTCATGTCGACATCTACTGGCTGGGACTGAAGCTGCAGAAGTTTCTCTCAAATATCCATAGGAAGAGGACAACCAAATGTCTCATCTTCACCATACAGTGCATGTTCTATTCTCTTCTATACAGATTCTTATACTGTACCCACCAACATAGTTGGAGCACATTCCAACAGTGCATTAAGCAATGGGACTACATATCTGTCACATGTAGTTTCTCTCATTCTCTCTCCAGGAGAGACATGCGTGTGGTGGAGTATCTTGTTTTGATAGGATTTTTCTAAAATATACATGTTGCTATAGGTTTATGTTGCAGAAGACAAAGAAAAAAAAATTGTGTCTTGCACTTGGAGTGAAGGTGGTGATGTTTGTGCTGTTCCTTAGTCCTTGGGGGGAGTTCATTTCATAGCCTCTGATCAGCCCCCAGAGAAAGTTCTGTCTCCCGTAGACAGACAAACGTCACTCACGAGGCCTTGGTCCTGGCCAACCCTGACAACATTTACCGTAGAAGAGACCCAGTCTAGAATCCAAGTTTATGTTGGTAGCAGGAAACAAGATGGCTGCTTAGCCTAGTGCTCATCCCGCAGAGTTACCATACCAGAAGTCCTAAGTTTGAGTTCAGAGACCAGAAAATTTGTGGTTTCTTTTTTAAGCATCCAGATGCTATGGTAATACTTGAAATAACAAAAACTGGACAAAATGTGATCAGACCAAATGGGATATAGCCTGAGAACCTGAATGCCACTTGATGCACAGAAATGCAAACAAGCTGTTTGTTTCTGCTGGAACGTGGTCAGAAGTAAAATATGTTCTCTCTGAAATAGAACTGTGGGAGTTTAACAGAAACCCAAAACTGGTTTGAAAGATTCTAAATAAATGACAGAAGTTTCTCCAAACAGCTAGCTGTTCCAAGTAAACTGGAGTTGGGTCCCTGAAGAATCTGAGCTCTACACATGGACCTGGCTTTCAGAGTGCTCAGCACACACATCTGGTGTCAGATTTTTAAAAGATCTCAGTACTCAGCATGCACCCAACATGCTGAGCTTTCTTGAAAGTCTGGCCCCTGGATTCTCTGCCAGTGCAAATGTCATTACAGCTATAATCAGCAAAACCAAAAAGCAGTCATTCAACACCACCCCCTATTTTTATGGCCCATAACTTTTCCAGGAAATGTCCACTGGGGCTGCAGTTTGACTCATACCTCAGCCTGAAGGCTAAATTATTTTCCCCAGAAGGTTTCAACAAAAGCTACTGAGCCCTGACTGACGTGTTCTTTAAACATCAGAAGGGCTTTCATCCTGGGATAAACCTAAAAATACATTTTAAAAACTGTAAGTTTGTCCTGTTGAGACCTCAGCCAGGACAAGCAACTTCACCATGTTTGAAGAAGTCTAATTCACACACAGCATTTTACAAGCAACTGGAATCGGTACTGTGGGGACGGTTCCATCAGCCATGCAGAGTAAACGTATTCTGAGAGGGCTTGGGGGCTTTTTATTAACACTTCATTTTTGGCTAACGCTTTGCAGTTCACCTTAAAAAACATTTCAGAGTAATAAAATACATAGTTCAATCAGGCATCCTGAACGCAGAATCTCTCTGCTGCCTACCAGGATTCAAGCCTGGAGCAAATTTATATAGGCAGACATTTGTTTCAATCCTCTCTGATAAATACTTCCAGCCAAATTATGCCTTCCAATAGCTGTGGTTGGCTACCACTGATATCAGTGAGAATCATGAGCTGGCATCCCAAGGCAGAACATGGCTTTAATGTTGCACGCATACACCAAGAAAATGTGTAAGGTGCCCAAGCTACCCCTCTTCGGTTGCTAAACTGACAGTAAGTGCACGTTAAGAAAGTCAGCCTCCTGTTACCGCACAGCTTGTGAGACCTGCTTAGTTTTTATTTTAAAAAGCTTCATCCATCTTTGGCACCAGGAAACGGCCTGGTTGTATTATACATAGAGCTGCTTCGGCTTAGCAGTACAGAGCTGTGGTTAGACTATTGCCATTTTACAAAGTTACTTCTACTCACCAAGTTTTGCTCACAGAGGCCCCGGAACTGCTGGAACTTTTGGGACATGAGTAACTGTGCGCTGCCCACTGCGCTGAGGACTTTTCCTAAAACTAACGAAAGAAAAAGGAATGTAAGAAGTTAGATAAGAAATAAAAACAGCTGAATGTAGCAAACAAGAATGTTTCAAAAGGTTAAGATGCTTCCTAGCATTCATACACATTGGCTTATACTCGTTCTACGAGCAAAATTGTGTTTTTTACTCATGTTTTAAACAAGCCATGTCACTAATGATCTATTGTTACAAACGGATGCATTGCCTGTAGGTCTCTGTATACTTTGTTTGCCCTTGTTCTACTGCCAAGAGACCCATCAAGGATGGCACACAGCCACGCTGCCACAAGATTCTCTGTTTGCAATAGAGCTTTACTGAAGTTCCAAGGCAGAGGAGTCGTTTTTGGGTATGAGAGACCCTCCGAGCCCGGATCAACTGACTCGGGCTCGTGCTACAGGGCTAAAAATAGCAGTGTTGAGGTTTGGAGTTTGGGCCTGAGCTACCTGTGCCTAGGCATCTACACTGCTATTTTTAATCCCATAGCGAGAGACCCACAAGTCCAAGTCAGCTGACTCGGGCTCTGAGACTCACCTGCTGCAGGTTTTTTGTTTTGCACCGTAGACATACCCTTAGAAGCCAGTTTGATATCCTCTAGAACCCCTCTTCCCCTATGCATTTAGAGAAAGTGAATTCCAGAGACCCATAAGACAGTTAATTCTACAGAGAAGGGAAGTCGCATTCCAGCTGAGATAGACTGCTTCACTTATTGTCCAATTGTACACAGAACTATTGATATCTACAGCTTTATGCTTCCTAAAACATAGGAGGGCACTAAAAATCATTAAATTAGTTAGAGCCTACAGCAAGGTTGAATGACAAGCCTTTTAAGGCACGATCTATAGGTGAGCCCCCATGGAATGTGCAGTGCCCCTGACCTGCAGGCACATGCTCTCAGACAGACCTTAACCCACACTTCCAAAATACAAGAGGATCATGAGGAGAGCAGATCAACCATCTCTTTTCACAGAAAGGTTTAGACGTTGAGCAGTTAATAAGTATTTAGCAGAACGAAGTGTTGAGGTCCCAGGATTTAAAGACTCTTCCTCAGAGTGCTCAGCGGAGCTCTTAGGTGTGGAAAAATTGTCCCCTCTTGCCACCAACAGAAGTGTTTGGGCTTGTTACTACTGGAGGCTCAGATGAAACAAAGCTAGAGCTCTCAAACGCATTGCAGGATCATATGGCAGTGAGGAACTCAATGATAGATCCTTTACCTAGTCATTTTCTGGGCTTTTTAAACTGTTTTTGGTATTTGGGTGTGGTTTGTTGGGCATGAGCTGGACTCTCTCCAAACACACTTTCACACTTAATTCTGCATTAAAGAATTTGCTGGGAAATATTTACCAAGGGGTAGATGGACCCCATGCCCTGTTCCTCCCTTGCTCAAATGAGTAAGGGCTGCTCAGCGTGCAGCTCCTGCCATGGGGGGAGAGCACAGCTGGTCCCTTGATACCGCCCCTGCAAGCAAGCAGGTGAGGAGGGTCCAAGAGTGGGAACAGCCCTGCACTGCCTGTCCAACTTGGCAGCCTGAATAACTGGCTTTATGCATGGAGGCTGGGGGAGGGGAAATGAAGAGTAAAAGGGATGATGTAAGCCACCCCGTACCTCCCAAACAACGGAGCAGTGATTTGTGTCTGAGTCACTCCTAGGGCAGTGCAGCTTATAGCGTTACAACCCAGCCCTAGGTACAGATCATGCCCACTGTAGCAATATCACCCACATTTACATTCCTAAGTAACCTCACTCTTTGCCTGCTCCGTGTGATTCTAGAATCAGACTCTAAAGCTTATCCCATCTAGTCCCTTCCTGGCCAGCACCACCCCTTTCCTTTGTCAGATTGTTCCACATGCTAGCAAGTCTCAGGGTATGTCCCCCCTCATAGGGTTTTTAGCCCTGCAGCCTGAGACAGCTGACCGAGCCCAGCCACGGGTTTTTTATCCCGGTGAAGATGTACCCTCACTGTCAGTTCAATTCTCTTTTTCTTAAATTTTATCCCACCACAAGTTCCTGTATCTGGCCACTACGAACAGGTTTGCCCCATTCCAGTTACACCCCACGTTCCTCCCGAGTGCTATGCAGTTCTCAACACCCACCTTCTTCAGAGAGATTGTTCTCTTTGGTCTCCTGGTCCATCTGACGGCACCATCCTTCTAACCTTTCTGTTTCTGCCTGCAGCAGTTTCAGAAACCAGTACCCATCCCGCCTGCAGGCTCCTGGTTGTGTTGGTTCTGATGGCGAGTTGGAGGATGTCTCGAGCCAAGGGTCCGGAGGAGGGAGAGAGGAAGGCTCTAGGGCTGGGTCACTGCTATCTCCATAGGAGAGATTTCTCTTGAACTGGGAGGGCTTGGCTGGTTGCCTGGTACTGGCATCAACACTGACAGAGTTGTAGCGCGGGGGACAATCAGCAAGGCTTCTCTCAGACGATTTACAGTTTGAGTGATTCGGTTCCTGTGCGTCGGAATCGGCGTCCTGTTTGGAGGACATACTGCGAGAGTGGTTGTTTCTGCAGAAAGAGCAGGAGCAAGAGAATGAAGGGGAGCCCTCCAACTGGCTGGATTCACACACTGGTACACAATGCAACGGGTTTGTTTACGGTGTCTGCAGCTGAGCCTTGTTCCCCCCCAGCCCCTCCACCTTAAAACACAAAAACCCACAGCACACATGCAGGCAGACAAAATTATAAGGTTGCCTGCTTACTGCAATAGGCCATTCAGACAAAATGACTGACGCGCATCTATAATTACATCTTGGGTTCGGTTTTTATTTCAAGCTCCCATTGATTTAGCTGTTTACATTACAGAGCAAGTACTTTTTTTGATAAAAGCACATGCTGCTCAACACAGTTAGTACTGAAACATGAAACTGAGGCGAGACATGGGTCTAAGCTAATTGGCAAAGTGTAGTTTAAAGGGATAAAATAAAAGGGCCTGTGTCTCTCACTTACCGCCACTCGTCCTCTACCTGTACCCCGATGGACTGGAATTTGGTGGTTGGCGTAGGGGGCTCCTCCTTTGCCACTGGCTGAAGGCAGTCAACCTTATTAAATAAAAAAATACAAACAAAAAAACAAAAACTTGCTGCTACAATTCATGTTAGTAGAATAGGAGAGCTGCAACCACATGCGCGCGCACACAGAGCATACAGATGCTGTAAAGCAATTCGAAGGCTGTTTTAGGATGGATGGCACAATACTGCTAGCCTAAGGAGAAGTCACCAGTGCCCCAATCTGCTGAGGACGTCAGATTTTATCCCTAGCCCTGCAGTAATCAGACAGCCATTCTGGATCTGGCTCTGTCAACTGCCACAATAGAAACAACAGGTAGTGGAAAGGTTTTGATGCCTCAGAGCAGCTGCATGTACAAGGCAGGCAGGCAGATGGCCATTCTGAGGCTCGAGAGAGGGCAGCAGCCTGACTGTCAAAAGGGCATCTCTAGAACAGGGGCTCTCAAACTTTCTGAAGCCTAGTATCCTCTCATCATCAACTTCCCCTCTCCCCACCCAAGAACTACGTGGAAGCCCTGAGTAGTTAGTTGCAGCCGTAAGTGAAATCCAGGTACTGGAAGTAGGGAGGCATGGGTCACAGCATGAGAACCTCAACCCCAGAATGGGGGGGGGGGGGGGGAGCAGATTGAAACAGTCAGGCTCTTTAAAAAGGGAATTCTCCCTCTACCCCTCCACCCCACCGTTGTTTGCTCCAACTCCCACTATTTCTGTGGGAAAGAATCAATATCGAAGTGACATTGGAAGCTTCTCTGCCAGCTAGATTTCAGCAGCAGAACAATTCACAACCCAATGTAAAGCCTCATATTGAATGTACAGTTTGCACTGCCGAACTTCCATGGCATTCAGAATGATTAACTGTGGACAAGATGGTAAACAAGAACTAACTTGTCTGCTTGGGTATGGCTTCAACATAGAGAGTTTAACCTGATGATATCGAGATGCATATTACGTTGGATAAAGGGTCGTTTCTACGTGATGAACAAAACTGGAAAGTCTGATGCTGTAGAAGATGTGTTTTAAACTGCACTTTCAAACCCATACTCACACGTGCCGAACCCACATGTTTTGTATTTAAACTTGCAAGTGGGAAGCTTACTACCACTTCAGCATGTCATAAGGTGACGTGCAGCAGGCGCTTGTGGATACAACAGATGAACATAAAGTTTAACCACCTGCATTTGAAATGTTGTCCACAAGCAAAATGTAAATAGATTAGGCTCTTTTTTTTTTTTAAACTTCTCCAAAAGTAGCCTTTGCAGGACAAAGCTTGGATACACGTTTCTCCCTGAGCAGTTTTCATTGGGCTATAAAGCCAGCAACTGTTTTTCATTAGTTTGCATGTTCTGTTGGCTTTCAGCAACAGAAGTTCTCAGAGAACCAATGGGGTGAAGGAGGGGCACTCCCACAGATAGACTGCATCAGAGCCATGGTGCCATAATCATTTCATACTATAGCAGCCCCAAACATGCTTAATAGTTCTATAATAGAAGAGTTTGAATCTTAAATGAAGCTATGCCTTGAACTCAGATTGAAAGCATGCAGACTGACCTTAAAATACAGTATATGGCACACAAACTCTAGCATTTGTGCATATGTACTTTTGGCAAGAAGCCCCTTTAAAGAGAATTACCCATTTAACAGAGCTACATTATTTTACGACATGTTTTAATTCTGTACTGAACACATTCCTGTTATAGCAACATTTTGTTGTATTTCACCTCTGAGTGCACTGGATGATTGCTCTACAAACTGGTTAATTTCTTTAGCTATCTGGGTGGGTTCAGCTGCACGTTTGGTTACAAGACACAGGCTAAACAGATACATTTAAGAACATTCTCTGTTACACAAAGGAGTACAAACTATTCCATACTTGTATTCCTATAGACGACAGCTTCCTTTTGGGAATATTCTCCACCTTAGGCTCTTCACTTGTCAGAGTTCCTTTGTCACTTTTCAAGGTTGCATTTTTCTGGGGTAACTCTGGAGCATCTCTGGCTGGAGTCACAAGGCTGCCTCTTGTCACACTGGGTGTTCTGGTACTGTCTAAGCTGTCTGAAGAATTACTCAGTCCCGATTGGCTGTTGACTTCGCTCTTGTGGTCCTGGCTATCCAGGTAGGTGTCCTGGGCTGATTCAGTGCTGCTCTGCACGGTGACAGAGATGAACGGCTTTGAGGTGGTCCGAGGTGGGACGGGGGGAGGTGTCTTTTTATATGCCACTAGGCATGATGAACCTGCAACGGCAGAGGTGGGAAGGAGCAAGAGAGTGGAATTGAAGAGAATGTGACAGAGGTACAGTGAAAGAAAAAGAAAAAGCAGGTCAATTATAATATTCAGGAGAAATCTCCAAGTAGAAATTTGAAGAAATGCAGAAACACCAATTTAATGCCAACAGCTTGCACTGAGTGACCCACACCAAAGCATTTAAAAGGGGGGAGGGGAGGGAAGCCAGCACTATCCTGCAATAAAGTTCAAGAGAAACAACATGATGTGAGAGAGGCTGGAAGGTGGAAAAGTAGTAAAGAAGATCCTGCCAAACTGCTAGAGTGTTTGACAAGGAAAGGCCACCACACAGCAGAAGTTCTGTGGAACCCTGATTTTTTTTTTTTTTTTTAAATCGTGTTTAGTGTCCTGGTAAAGCCAAATCTCTCAGTTCTTTGTTCCCATCAGTTGACAAGTTTCTGTATCCGGACCAGGCTGGCGTTTGTTCCTACAAAAGGGAAAGAGGCCATAAGGGTTTCTTCCAGCAGGCAGTAGCTATAATGTTCACAAAGCACTTTACAAACCCTGGAGGGTTGATTTTTAATCTTTAAAGGTATTTAGGTGCCTAAAGATTCAGGGATGCCAGGATTTTCAGAAGGGCCTATCTACATATTTAGGTCCCTAAATACCTTTACAAGTCTGGCTCTGAGCGCACAGTACGTTATTTGCCATTATTGATTTGAGAGCTGGAAACATAGGTATCCAGCATCTTCCCCAGCATGCAGCTCAGTTCAGGCAACTGAAAATCAGCTTGGATTCACGAGGATAAAACCCCACCAGGCCACAACACACATCAGTACAGTCGTTTGGAATACAGAAGAGTCCTAGAAATAAATTAGTCAGTGGCCATCCACATGTCAGCATTCAGCAAACACAAGACACCCAGGAGGTATTGTATGTGCCAGTCAGGGTTTGGTATTTCCAAACAAAAGATGTAGGTGTACACTACCACCTCTAGAAGAGAGCTGAAGTAGAGTCCTTGCAGAACCTCACACAGTAGGCAAGACTACTTTGATGCTCTAACAATTTAGGAGTTTAGACTAGGATTCTGAAGGTGTTAGTAGCTTAGTGTAGACATAACAGAATACCTTCAAGACTCCCCGAGGCTTTAACTTGACCATTTTAACATATTAAAGGCACACAGTTATGTCCAAATTCAAATCAGGACAAGGCTTTCATGTTAACAGTCTTCCTAATAGCATCTCTCTCGCGTGCTCACCATGGCTGTGACAGTGAAAATCTACTACCGGCAGTACGTAAGGGAATTTAACAATCGCTAAGAAATATTTTCCCAAGGTCGAGTACAAGAGGTCCAGCTTCCCACTTCTGCAAACCAAAAGTAACCATGTGCCCATTCTTCAGCCAGTTAATTTATTCCATTAAGTCACCCAAACTAAGTGCCGGATGGCACTGAAAGATAGCCACAGGACAATATCAGAGAATTAACCAGTGGGACGGAAACAACAGCCTAAATCAGCACTCACGTCTTTGCATGGTGGCGCCCTGTAAAGATGGGGCAGTGGGCACCCTTCATTGTGGAGACTGGAGCAGCATGCAGTCAGTATAGGAGAACCTGCATGTTTTGTTTTAGATACCGTGCTGGAAGATTTTATTCTCCAGTCACCTCCTTTAAATTCCTGGCAGTTTCTGTATATCAGGGGTTCTCAAACTTCATTGCACAGTGACCCCCTTGTGACAACAATTACTACACGACCCCAGGAGGGGGGACTGAAGCCTGACCCCCCGCCTGAGCTCTACCACCCCAGGTGGGGGGGCAAAACCAAAGCCTGAGCCCCACTTCCCAGGTAGGGAGGCCAAAACCAAAAGCCTGAGCCCCATCATCCAGGGCTGAAGCCCTTGGGCTTGGGCTTCAGCCCGAGGTGCTGGGGCTCAGGCTTCGGCTTCAGCCCCAGGTGGTGGGGTTCAGGCTCTGGCCAGTCCCGGAGAACCTATTACAATGGGGTCCTGACCCACAGTTTGAGAACCTTGCTGTAAATGATGATGTGACAAACCATTATTTTGCTGTGGCCAGGTCTACACTAGAAAAGTTTGGCCAACATTTCTATATGGCAGAAGTTCTTGCTTACGCTGGCAAAGAAGTGCTTTTGCCTCCATAGCTTACATCAGTTTCCCAGGTGAAATAAGCTATACCCACAGAAGTTCTTTTATGCTGCTATAATCCGTGCCTATGCTACGACTTCTTCTGCTATAGAAATATTGCAAGAGAAGTTACACCCCTAACAAATACTGCTATACTGGCAAAAGTTTCTAATGTAGACCTGGCCTATGTCTGGGACAAGCAGAAGCCATCCTGCCCAGCTTTTCCCACCCAGCCTGACTGTAGTGCTACTATAACCCCTTTCCTAAATACCTGGGTCCCTTCGATGCAGACTCTTCATCCTTCTGCAGCTACATACAACACAACACTAGTAATGCTATTAAAAAAGTTGTTTAAGTTTAACCAGGTACTTTAACTTAGATGAGGTCATCTGCCATCATAACAATGAGGTCCTATGACATAGCCTAGATTACAGTAACATTACAATGGGAAGTAGCTCCTGATTTACTGCTGGGCTGTAAATGTATACAAAGAGCACAGATAGTTTTCTGGCTGCTATTTCAACCTACCATGCTGCAGTATGATTGAGACAGTAAATCAATTACTATCCTACTGATGTAAATCCTTACTTATAAGCAAAAACAAAAGAGGGTGCTGGACTTCTGCAAAAGAAGTCACTATTGATGTACAAAACAGGAACATGCAGGGGAGGAGGGGAACCATCACTGGAAAAAACATTTTATTTGGGGTTATCGAGGTAGATAAACACCAGGCCCAGTAGTCCAGCTTCCACAGGCTGCAAGGACACTGTAGATTCATTTTGAAGGTTGGTATTTCCTCTCAATCTTGTTCCCAGTGATCACCAAAGGAACTGGTCTTGATGTGTGGGGCAGTGAATGCAAGACTTCACAGGGAAAGGAAGTCTATAGAAAGAGAGTAAGACGATACTCAGAATGCTGACATCAATGGAGAATAAGTAATGCTATGAAGAGGTTGCGAATTGAACAGTAAAAGCAGAAGAAACAACTGGAAACGAATCAGGGAGTCAAGGGCAACGGAGAATATTCAGGAAAACAACACAATTAAAAATTAAACTTACTCAAGTACTTTGCAGAACCTTAAAACAAACACATCCCACCCCTGCAGCAAAAGGAGCAACATCTATGTTGTCAAGCAGAGGCTAAAAGAAAGTAAGCTGCAAAGTAAACACAGCCAGATCTTGATCTCTAGGCCAGCATCTTTCCCTCCCTAAGCAGCGTTTCATGTCAACTGGTTAATGGGCCCATCCCAGAAAGGGTGGCTCAATTTTGAACACGAGAATGCCAGTGGGATCCCCTCCCCACCACGGATAGTCCTCTCCTCCCTCCTCTCACCCTCCCTGCATACCCTCATCCAACAAAGTTGTTTCAGCTGCTGCCAGCTCTCCACCCAAAAATGAGCTCACTGCTGTTAGATCATCTCAATCTAGCTACAGTGGAGCATTTACAAAGGCAGAGGACTTTCCATCTTTTGGTTGCGTGTGTACAGTGCCTAGCACAATTGCTCTCCGGTGGGAGTCTCTAGGCACTAGGGCAGCACAAATATGAAATAATTGTAAATTGCAGATTGTTTTGCAGTGATGAGACTTACAACATAACATTGCAGAACTGTTTACAGGCCATGTTAATTTCTGCCAGGGAGATGCTGGGTCTGGGGCAAACTGCAAGATAGGACAGTGTAACTAGAACTGGGAATCACGCTGCTAAAAGGGTCCTCATCAGCTCTCTGAACTGCTGGCAGAATGTAATAGTTTAAAAAACTAAGAATAGTCCCAGGCACAGAGCAAGTACGGTGATGAAAATGTTTCTACAGCAAGATTTCTGGTTTGCAGCATTTGAATCTTCCCATTCAAAGGCATTTTTTGTTTAGATAGGACTCAAAAACAAGTTACTAACATTCATAGGCTATGTCTACACTACAGCCTATGCCAGCATAAATATGCGCTAAGGGGTGTGAATCAACCATCCCCGAGCAACATAAGTTACACCGACATAAGCGCTCATGTGCACAGCGCTGTGTTGGCAGGAGAGCTTCTCCCGCTGACACAGCTTCTGCGACTCGTGGAAGTGGCTTTTTTATGCTGATGGGAGAGCTCTTTACCGTCAACATAGAGCTTCTTCGCCAGATGTGGTACAGCTGCACAGCTGTATTGGTACAGCAGCGCTGCTGCAGCGCTGTACATATACACATGGCCTTCGCCACGCTGTAGTTAACTGAATGATTGGGGGGAGGGGGCATTTGGGCTTTTATAGCCTTCCTGGCAGAGCTATTTTTAGCATGAAAAACACTCAGAAGTTGACATCTTTCTATTTGACTTTATCTGCTGCTTCCAGCCAGTCTTGGCCAATATCTACTGGCTCACTCTTAGCCAATTTTAGTTTTTGCCTTTAAGATTCAGAACACAGCCCATGCCTAACCTTTATAATTTTCTCACTTCCTAGACAGCATGCTGATTGCTTGTTAAAGGCTAAAGTGCACGAGCTTTTTTTTTTTAAAATAAATAAATAAATAAAATCCAACCATCACCTAACCAATACTTTCAGAGGTCCTTATTCTTCACAGCACCATTCCACGGCTTGCCTGCAACATGCCTTTGTTCAAGGTTAAGCTGCCAGGATCACAACCAGTGTTTTATCTTCTATTTAAATATATCTAAAGTGCTGCTGCTGTAAAGAATGCAATAGGCACCGCAGGATATTAACTTTGTTGTTGCGGTTGACAGAGCCAGCACAGTCTCGATGGATCACCTGCCCATTTCTCAGTGACCTCAAGGGACAACGGCCATTACTCTGAGTTTTAATTTTTTATTATTTGATTCTTCTAAGAGCACCAAACCCATAATTTGTAAGGTAATACAGAGACTTTCCATGAGTG